TAAATTTATACAAAATATGAAAACTACATATAAAGCACGAAAATTTCAATTACAAGCACGAAAGAGCTCAAAAATGCAAAAAAGGGTATTATTCTGATAGCAACCTTAATTCAGGTCTGAAAGGGTTAAACTGGTTTCAGGAAATTTCACGATATTTTCGCAGTGTGTTCACATAGTTCGCGAAATCAGTTTCTCACTTTCGTGAAACTGTTTGGTTTTGCAACTTTTTTATATTTCATTCAGTTTCAGAGAACCTGTAGGTGATATGGAAGCAGAACTTACTGAGTTGGTGCGTGTTCGAGAGAGTTTAAGGTAAGTTGATTGTGAGGAGAATCACAATAAGGTGATCAAGCAGCAGAAACTGAATGGAAGTGTAATAATACAGAACATCAGTCAAAGCAGGGAGAAAAAGAAATTGCACGCTAAGGGTTTACTTTAGAAAGGAGTGGAAAAAGTGGAAGCCTCAAGGCGGGAGACACCTCTGTAGATGCAGTGTCTAGCCAAAAATAAAATAAAACAATTTCTCCGATAGTTTCTCAAAGAATCAGCAGTTTCTCAAAGCATTGTGGACTCATCTGAAAGGAATTAAAGTAGAACTCTGGGTCCTCTGATCGCAGGTCTCGAATTAATGACGCATAATCATGACTAAATCGTGTATGTCTTCAATTTTCATCCTAATATTTCTCTTATTTTTCTTTTATTACATTTTCTTTTCCGGCTTGCTCGAGCAATAACGATTGCTGCTGCACCGCCAGCAATCTCTTCGTCCAGGCATGGCGAGAAACAGGGAAATTGAACTTCATGTGTGTGAGGAGCAATCCCAGGCATTGAGGAGGTCTTGAATATGCGGGCATGAAAGTGACGGCACAAGAATGCTCAGAAAAGGGCCCGCAAGGTATTTTTACGGCTAACTCTCCTCTCCAATAGTCGAGACAGAAGGTCATTTCCCTTTATGCTGGCCTCGTTGTCTTCCCCTGCACAAGCCATCAGTTGTCTTCCCAACCCCCTGCCCTGAAAGTTTTTCTATGCGCATCGAAACCCTCAATGTAGCAAGTACTGATGCGTTGGCCCCAGTTTTGAGACAGAACAAAGGCCTTCACGGGGTGACGGAATTAAAAATCTCAAGTACTTGTCAACCAAGCGAAACTATCCTCTTTTCCTGGAAATTAAACCTCAGTAGCGTGCGTATCGACATCCTCACCTCAACCATTCATCCTTGAAAATACCGATTTTGGAGGGAAATAAAGGCAATTTACGTGCAGGCAAGAGAAGTCTAGGTCTAATCAGCATTCCAAGAAAAGACCAAGGCAGTCAGGCAATGGCAATTCCTTTACCTCCTATCCGGGGACCTTTTTACATTGCGATTTTGCTCTTCATTAGGAAGACTCGCAAGACGGCCCATAGTCGCGAATGAATGCAGACGAGTCGAAACAGATTCGCAACCTACATGCTTATTACGATTCGATAAGATTAGCTACCAGAAAAATGCGACTCAGGACCTCTAACCATGGGAGACTCAATTTTTCTGGACCGATGACTTCCGTGATACAAGTTCGGCCTTCACTGGAGTCCGTTTATATCCCACTTCTCGCTTAGGATCTCCTTTTCCCAGGGCTGGCAATCGAATGCCTGATTCGTTTAGTTTCGAACCAGGATTGAGTATCATAGGAGTCTAGGAAGCTGCCAACCGAGCCACTCCCCAACCCCGTGGGGAAAAAAATCCTTTGTGGGACGTCACAAGGTATGCGCTTTCCTAAATTCGCAAGTTAATGAAGCGTCTATTGCCCCAGCCTTGTATTTAGTAACTTTGGTGAGGAATCAACCTCAGAAACATGTTCCGTCCATTTTTACGAATCTGGTTTTTCGCGTGTGGCCGACGTTAGCGCAATGCGGTCTCGTGCATAGAGGACAAAAAGCCACCGCAGGCAGATAAGCGGGGGGGAAAATTATTCGGATCGTCTTCCGCAGTCTCGTCGACGGAGGGAGATTCCCCCGAGGCAACCAGGGCTGACGAGCGAGCGGCGAAGCGGGAGGCACTATAGGCAGGCCAACATGCAAGAGGGCTGTAAAGTTTTGCTTCTATTGCTTTTGTGAGGCCTGTTCATGCCTGTTGTTACTATCGATGCCACCAACCATCGAGGTGACATCGATACTAGATGTATCGTGACAGAACTGTTTCCTTTTTGGCTCAAGGGTCTTTCTTCCTAAGCCTCTTTTCTTTCTCTTACAGCCCACACACCCCGGAATATTGTTCCTTTTTTTAGCCTTGCCATCTCCTCCTATCCCTTTCTTGCTCCTTCCTTAACTCTTCCCTCTTGTTCACAGGATCAGCATTCAATTGCTCACATTCTTTATGCTTTTTAAGTCAACGAATGCATTACCACCATGATACCTTGAGAAATAATTAGAATGCAACTACTGATGATATTTATTGGCATCAGCATGTTCATTTCAATGTCATGATCGAGGGCAGCGTCATATGTCAGTTGCCTCTTATCCTACAAGGATGATGTAAAATATTGATTATAATTAGAGATGCCACAATACACGATCGGTGGTTCGTTCGCATCGTTGGTTAGCAAGGTACCTGAGGAATGCGAATGAATACAGAAAAACTAAACATTTGCGTGTGCACGCTTGCGACGATGGGATTTTTTAAACTCCATTGAGTTTAGAAAGTGAGCCGAGAAAAGGAAGGGCAACGACACCGAGATGACAAGTCAGTTCAGCGCAGGGCAAAATAGAGGGAGAAGCAACTTCCTTTATCCTCTCTCCATCCGTCTTTGCTAGCTACAAACTCAGGTCCCTCCCCGTATGATAAGGCGGCGGGCCATGGAAAACAAAGGACTGTCCTGGATTCTCCATACGGCTCGAAATTCGCATACTTCCTTCTCTCCGTTACTCGCAGCTTAACCTTTCGGCGATTGAAATGGGATGCGGCCAGACCCCCGCGGTCGGTTTTTCCCAGGTTACGATACTGTCCGACAAATGAATGTGGGAAATAACTCGGCAAACACTTTTTTTTTCTCCCACTACGTCTCCTTTTAAACAGTATCTAATAAACAGGCTGCAATCAAAGTGATTAACTTCACTCAAACTGGATTTAATATCCCATTCCAAAAGAAAATTGCGCGATGGGCAGGATAGGAAAGAGCGGTCACCCACCCAGATCCAGCCTCAAGACCGTTTGGCCCACGAAGCACTGGTCTCACACTCCCCCCAACCTTGTATCTTTCTTTTCCTGCTACATCACCAATATTCTGGGCCAATATTAGGGTCATGCGTAGCTCCGCCTCGGACGATAGGGGCTCAGGATTGCAGGCGATTTTCCCATTCTAAGGAGGCGATGGGGTGGGTGCTGCGACACTCCCAGCATTCAACTCCACCAATGTTTCTTCGTGGAAAGGGATATTTATTTGGGATCCTCGCGCATACCGCTGCCGTCTGCTCTGTAACTCTTATATACCCATCGGAAGGTTGTGATATAATTTGTCGTTGCATCACAGCTGTGTTGATGGTTCAGGCCAATGCTTAGATGTTTTCATAAGTGGCATTATAACATAGATTCACAGTAGCCAACGAGACGCCCGATGTTTATTGGATAGGCCAGTGCATGGATGGTGTCTCCAGGCAGACTGCCGGAATTGCCGGAATGGGCACTCATGCACTCACAATAAAATGGAAAATCAGCAGAGCAAAATATCGGTTTCAAATATTCATCGAAATTCCAATATCGGATCGATAACGGTATCGAATATGGTATCTATTATGATATCGTTACAGCCCCATTTAATCATTCCTGTTGAAAATGAAAATTGGCTTATGTGACGTTAGACAATATTTAGGAAACCACCATTGTAGAAGGAATAAATTACAGCATTATAAACCACCGGCTGCAGTACTTCTGGCTCAATTAATTCACTTGTTGGTAACATACCCAATTACAATAACGAAACCATAGCCCACAACCCAATTAGACTACTTCATACTTGTTTCAACCTCATTGCACAAACTTGGTGCAACTTACCCACATGACATGAAAAGATAATTGTTTCCCTCCATGCGAAAATCTAACCCACTATATAAACCCTATCTAACCCACTATTAAGTAAAACCATCGTCAATCAACACCATTGACATTTAATAAACTTATTCTTAAATCTGAATTTTAAGTTGTGACAGAAGGGTTTTCTTTGCAATACATACCTTGCATTTTCTAGCCCTGTGGATACAGATGGATCTGCTTATCTAGCGGGATGTCTCATTCAGTCAATAATAGACTAAAAGAAACAGGCAATATTTTCCTCTTGTATCAAAACAGCAGTCCTAAAATATGCAGAAATTGACTTCTTAATTGCACAAGATGGAGGCTCTTTTCCGAAGCGAGCCTATAGACCTCCTTGTACATACCATACAACCAATATTCCGAAGCAAACCCGTCTCTCTTCCTGACAATTCGAAAATAAGCTTTCTATGAACGGACTTATCCCAAACACATCAATAAATAAAAGCAACGAAAAGGCGTAAGTAAAAGTGAAATGCTCACCGGATGTAGCTATTCACACACCCTTATAATGGGCCAAAGGAGCCAGAAATGAACACATTCAGATATTACGTGCGCGCTAGCATACATCCATGTTGGAATAGGGATAAATATGGCTGCATGCGGATGGAAGTCGGCGGCACAGACCGAAGGCTGAATCTTGCATGTCGGATGCTGCTTGACATAGGACTATGATAGCAGTTGAAATCACTTTGTAGGTTCATGCTAGGCGTAGAGGTTCGTGTGATACGTACGCCTCATGTTAAAGGACTAGGGTCTACGATAGGCTAGGCCTAGGCCCATGTTGAGCGAATTGACTAATTGTAGAATTATTACAGGTGACGTAGACCCAAACCTTGGTCAAATACTGGAAAGTACTCACCTCAAGCTCGCAAATGATACCAAAGTAGTGAAGCTCTTTATTCTTGTGAAGATTTGACCGAAAGACTGCACAGGAATGCAAATTCCTAAAGTTCTCTACGTTCTCCTCAATGTCATGTTTCATCTCTCTTTGCTGGGTGCATTCGAAGAAGGAAGCTTCACACCAGGAGACGATGACTTTGGGAAACAGCACTCATACATATTGGAGCATTCATTGACTGGTGAAGACTCAGATTTTCAAGTAAGGGGACAACTAGTCATCCACAGTCTAAAGCCCTTGACAACTTCATCTCATTCAAGCATCTCTGAGGCTGCAACTCTTGTCCAAAATCGTCTTAGTGAAGTTGATATCAACATCCTCAAGAAACAGAGTGAAGTGAATGGATTATACAGAGTAAGACTCTCTTTGGGGCCTTCTTCATATGTTTCTACTCACCTCCCAGTATGTGCCATGCTGGAATCACACTTCTCGGATATCCTCCGTGTGACTGTGGATTCAGATGGGAATATCCTTGGAATCTGGGAGGTGACTAATGTTGAATATTGCTCCATCGATTCCCATTTTGAGACCCAAAATCGATTTAACACTACACTGGAAATCCACATGCTTGAACCTGGACCAACTCCTGATACTGCAAGTTATTTGCAAAAGCTTGAAGAAGACAAGATGGCTCGTGAAAGAGGGGATGGGAAAGAGCAGAAGAGTTTCTTTGCCAAGTACTGGATGTATATCATCCCAGTGGTGATAATTCTCATGATGTCTGGTGGTGGAGGAGCATCTGAAGATAGGAGATAGATAAGGTCAATTGGTTGCAGATTTATGCAACCTGTATGGCTCAGAAATAAATGTAGGAAAGTGTTCATCTCTGGATACCTTCTTGTGGTTATGTGGTTTAAATATGCTTTTCATTGCAATGCATGACATCACCTACCAGACCACCAGCAAGATCATGACATGGATGTCATGATCTTGCTGTACTGAATGGAACTTCTAGCTGCAGGTTATAGCAACTTTTAACAGAAGCTTTGTCATTGTGATCCATCATACTGTGATTTTTAAGGGTATATCTAGTATGTTCTCTCTGACAAACTTTTGTTCAATTTCCTGCCTTGAACCTATTCCTTAGGAGGTCAACTCCATTGAATATATGCATCTGCCCACAGACTTTGCAAATGCTTGCCTTATTATTTTGAATGCAAAATGCTTTCAAAACTGAATCAATAGGAAGAAGTGAAAAGTGAAATTACTCAGATGATTGACATGCCCATTTTAAGAATAACTTTTTTCCACATCTTGCAAAAACTAGTGGTTTAGGCCATGATCACAAAGCCAAAACATTGACAATTCTTGATATAGGTTTTCCTGTTAGGAGACAATGGAAAAACAGGGTTACTTCCATTCTGACATCACCTTTGCACCCACTCATGGCCTAGTCTCTCCAACATTAATCCTTCTTGCAAACCAATTGACTTCATAGTAGAAAAATTGGCTCAAGCTTGTGATTGGTTTCCATAGAGCAACAAGTATGTGTCTTCCACTCATAGATTTACCATGTCTGGTTATTCATGAACATGTCCTCTTTCTTCACTTTGTGTCTGGGAGGAAGGCACTCTATGGGTTACCATACATCTGGATATTTTCCCTGGACATGTCCGCCTTTTTTGCCTTCAAATTTCTGCCCAACTGTTAGGCATCCTCTTTTTGACTGTCCAAAATATGGTAACCCTATCCACTCATTATAAATGGAATGGAGATGCCTTGTATGCTGGGAGTTTATTCTAATTCGTGCAAAGGTGTGCAAGTCACAGGTAGTAATTGTTGACTGATCATTCTCATTGTATTGGTATAAGAACATAGAACCAAGTGGATCACTTGTTCATATTGGTTGAATACATCCTAGAAAATATTCCCAAGCTACATGGGTTCATGAGAGAGAAACATCAGAAATTAATGAGAGAAGTAATTTTCATTTGCAATGTTCATAGACTGCTCTGAGATCGTATGCTTTCTTGAAATTTTTTACAGCTTTCTATTGAGATTTTGATCATGTTGAGTATGTGGTGTCACTGTTAACATACTTGTATTTGAGAGTACAAGCATTATCATACACTGTTCAAGTTGGTCATGAAATGCATGGTGATGAACAACTGGAGAAATCTGTTCTTGATCAAGAATCTCCAGAGATGAAAGATTCATGCTAGGCAGATTCCTTTTAAAAAAAACTCATTTAACTCATTTTGAGTGGGTCCACACTAATCTTTAGTGAGTTTTTATGAATGATTTGTATCACATATAGACTAGAATGATGACAATCTCGGGATAGATTCTGGTTACCTGATTAAGAGCTAGGAATTCTCATGCTTCATGACTGCAGAGGAAAGCACTGAAGGATTGGAATGTTTTGCTTATAGAGACATTAATTCCATCTACCCGCTGCGTTCAGAAAGGTTTTGATAGGATCGGTTTTAAGGTCCTTAACTCAGCTGACATTTCTTCATTGGCAAAATATGCCATTTTTCGGCGACCCCTCTGCTATGTTCTTTCAGTCACACGCATGGGCTCTGATGTGTAGAATACAGTCCTGACAAGGATTTCAAACATTGCTCTCATAGATGATCCAGACGACTTTCACTGGTTCGTCGGTGTCTTCTGGGAGAAGTAAGCTATCTGGTGGCTTCTTTCCGTGCTTCTTAAACGCCTTCCACTCCAACTCGAATTTGGTCATGGCGACGGCCTTCCTCAGATCTCGAAGATCCTTCATAAGATTCATATCGATGCTGATGTCCCCCCCATATCGATGGGCCTGATCTCCTAATCGCTTTAAGGTGTCACTCAAGGGTCCGGACAGATCCGCCAGCTTCTCACTCAGTTCTTTCATCCGCTCCCAACTCTCGGCGTATTGGCGGCGAACAAGCTCGAAGATAGTGGACGTGAGGGCCAATCCGACCAAGATGTAAAGGGTGCACAAGAAGACATAAGTCTGCTGCTGGGGCACTAAATCCCCGAACCCAATCGTCGACATCGTGATGAAGCAGAAGTAGAAGGCTTCGGAGAAGGACCAGTCTTCCCAGATCATGAAAAGTCCTCCGCCCATAGCGATATAAAGGGCAAGGAGGCCCACTCCCGCCACCACATAGACGCCCTTGGATTGGACGCCACCACTGGAAATCCCGGCGGATTTGGATAATCGGTCAATCCATTTGCAGCTGGTCCGGAAGCGTCGATAGAAGGAAGAAATTAAAGTGGCCAGGAGCCGCCCCAAGTTCGTGATAGCCGTCAACGCGATCGGGATTCCGATCATGGCGAAGACTATGCAAAATACTCGCCCTTCCGTCGTCGCCGGCGCCATATCACCATATCCTGCAACGGGATTCCTGATGGATATTAAATTCAATAACATTCAAGCCGTTGTGCAATTGCTTTCACCATAGACGATCAGACTTATTCATGACCATACTTTGAGATAGCATCTGGTTGCAAATGGATGAATAGGATTGCTTATTTGGAATTCAAGAGCGCACCTCTTGCTGGGAAGAAATTTTTTTTAAATCCTGACATGAACCCATGGGATTCCCTCGTTCGTGATTCTTCTCCGGGAATGATGCAACGGTTGTCATTCGAAAGATATTCCCGGGGGACTTGGGTTTGCGTCACGGCGTATCACGAGAAACGAGGTAGAAAGGACACACTGTAATTACGAGAAGCCAACACGGGTAAGGAAAGAAAATATCAGCAGATTAAGATTTGGTGCTATTATAAAGCCTGCAGAGGAAGTCTTAATTAGGAACCTCACCCAACGTCGACAACAACAGAATTGCATCTCACAGAAGCTTGAGTTCCACATTGGACCCTGTCTACCCCTATTGAATAACCTATAATACGGAAGGACCTGGTATCCTTTCCGCATATACACTAGTGACCAAAATTGTAGAAACACTTGAGAAAAGGCAAATTATCTGCATTAGAAAAATAGCTACTATATGGATCTCATTACAAAATCAATTATAGAGTTATCGCAGCGAGAACAATATTTTCATTTTTTATCAGCTGGAGAGTGGTTAAAGTACGTGGTTTGGTCACGCAATTCAATCTGTTCAATATATTCAGAGACTTTTGCAACATGTAAATATTTAAAAAGAAATGTATTATTTGCGGTTAATAGGTAATAGCCTAAATGTCTAAGTGCATCATTTATTGGGCATATTTTAAATAGAGCATAGTTTAATTAAATGAATAAGTTATTGTATTGAATAGTGTCTGCAACAATAAAAATGTGATTTATGAGAATGTTTGATGTAACAATTTATATAGCTTTCTTTTCTCATACCGCACTATTTGTTTTTTATATACTCGGCATTGTAGGCCCATTTAATATATTTTGATTACCATGAAAATACGTCACTTATGAAGTGCTACTGCTTAATTGTCAGTGTGTGCAATCAAAATGCTTTTGCAACGAGATCCAAATAATTATATTACAGTATGTATCATATACAGATATTTTGCCTTTTCTCAAGTGTTTTCATAACTTTGGCCACTAGTATACACTCGTTATCAGCCTAATCATTTTTATTATTCGACATGATGCCCGCCGTTCCATCCAGTCACGATTATAACGTAAATTCTCATCCTTCCGTTGTCTGTTCACAGACTGCTACTTGTTCTCATTTGTCTCTCGGAGTTTCGTTGACTGTAGTATACGGTGGAAAGAGGAAGGGAAAGGAGGACCTTTTTCTCGTTTGGAAGGTCTACGTCGAAAATAATCTGATATCTGATGATATATGATGAAATCTGATGATAGTTGACAAAACATGGTTTTCACTCACAGGTTCGTCCCCATAGTCACACAATATTGAATTTTGGTTTCATACCCTTTCTCTGATGAAGTTTCATCCTCATCTATTGACATTCCTAATTTATTTGACAGAGCATGGCACAGAGGGTTCTTGGAAAAACTTCAGGGCTATTATAGGTTTTTAAAGTCAAATATGGATATAATAAAGTCATATGCAATAAGGAAAAGCAAATGCATCGCTGTGCTAGATGGTCAGAAAAGTATGTTAGACATACGGATAGTCAAATGTGACAAGTATACAAGGCATACCAAACCCGTGCCAGGGGAATGCCTTCTCGTTGCATTTTCACAATGTGGGCTCCAGATGCTGATGTACCTGATGCTTCTATTACAATTAAACTTATTTGGCAATTATCGATAAGTCAGGGTTAGTCCTAGGAATATGCTACCACAAACCATTAGGGGTGGTAGGCCAGATTCCAAATATAAAAAAGGGAAGGTTGTGTGATTTTCCTTTAAAATTGCAACATATTGGTTATCCACATCAAATGCGGACACGAGAAAGTTAAGTGATGGATGGAAATTAAAAAATAAAATTATGATGTTGGATTGGTTCAAGAATTACAGGAAAGAAAGGGTGAAAGAATTGCTTCAGATTATTTATAGCGGATTTTCGATAGCGATTAAATGACTGAGTTGGGGGTGGACCTTCACTAGAATCGCTTGCCCATTGTTTCAGAGCTGGGACATCGAGCTACTACTTACTCGTCACTAGGTCACGATGTTATCACCCTTGAAAATGTAATCAATGGTTTCTGCACGCACAATCGCATCTCTACGTGTCTGGAATGGAGTGACGTTATGATGTTAGCGGCTACGCCATAGCTTTCATGACACGGGGCTGTCACACTTGACTTTCCTCATGTCAGGTATACATATCTTGAGAATCCAGCATCCCGACAGGCTTGTCTTATATGATTTTCCTCATGTAAATTTTGACTGTCCTGGAGGGTAGTGTCAGTATGAACTTCTACGTCGCACTTGACTCTCATACGTCGTTATCGGGCTTTGAAAACTTGCAACTTATATTTGCTATCGATAATTTTCATCATTGACCAGACAACAAAGTTTGAAATGAGACTAATTGCGCTATTGACGTCATACCCAAATGTATACTTGCATTCGGATCAATGCATTTGCATATGGAGCTGTGCAAAATGGAACCGTAACGAGAAACTTGTTGTCTGGCACTGGCATGATACACGGCTGTCTCATTTTGCAATTCCCCATGTCTGACATGATTTTCTTTAAAGTTTGACACCCAGCAGAGCGATGCATTTAAATTTCCTCCTCGCATTTGGCATTCTTATTTCCAAATTTGACTTGGAAAGCCCATGCATCCAAGGTTCACTTTTTACTCATTCATGGTCTGTTGTCCTACGCAGTACGATGGACAGCTTCTCTTCCGCACCCTCATCATTCCACTCTGCTGTCCCCCCGGGGAACGTCCTTGACCTAATGCTCTTTCCATTACTTCTCAACAGCAATGCCTCTACACTGGAGTAAAACGTCCACCTTTTTGCCGGAGTCTGTCTTTCACGTGTCCCAGAGAAGCAGATAATTTGCCTTTCTTCAACAGGACCTGGATTTCATAACCAAATGGGTATCCGAAGGAAACGTATACTTCAATCCGGAAAAAAAGAACTTGTCATACTTTCCTGCAGGAAAAGGGCGTTTTCCTTTCCAATTCGTTTTTTTTTTAACATGCATTTCTCTCTCGTACCTCGAAGAGGACATTACTTTGAACAGACCGCCAAATGAATTCTAACCATTTGCAAAGTCAGTAAAACTTTAATTTACCCATGAAGTGGTGGTATAAGATGCAGAGGGAATGCCCCTGTTTTGTGGAACTTCCAAGATACAAAGACTTCTTTCATTATTGTCGCGTGGGAGGGGCGGCGAAAGCGAGCTGCTCGTGCTTCTGTTGCTCGTGAACTTTTTTTCGAAAAAAAAAAAACAAACTCCACCGTTTTCAGCAATGGCACTATATACACTGAGAAATCGTGAGCGATAATCGGGGGTGAGGGAACATCGTTTCTACCTAAGTAAATGGGGGGAATCGGGACGGACTACACAGAAACGCTGATAGAAATGACAGGTGTAAATATGTCCATGGAGGTCTCAATCAGTGGGGATAGAAGAATTGCCCACTGAGAGTGGATGGGCATGCATGCGAGGGATTACGAGGAACGATCAAATGCAAGATTGGAGAGAGTTTCATTTCCATTTCCCTGAAAGCCTCTGTATTTTCTCCTCCCTCTCGATGGATTTTCCAACCAGACCAGGGTGTCTTACCGATCGTGGTGAGGACGGTGGAGGCGAAGAAGACGCTCTTCATGGCGCTCCATCGGGATTCGTTATTCCAGGGATCGATCCCGTTTTGCACTGCTTCGGCCACCTCCTTTGCGTAATCCTCGAGAAGGGAAGAGTTGAAGAGATCGGGGTCCAGGAGAGTCTCTCGAAGAATCTCCAGCTTTGACAATGTCCGATTCAGCCGGTCCAATTCCGTCGGCTGCTCCAACATCTGGAAGACCTGTCCCCAATACGAATGAGAGTTTCTTTCATTGCCAGTGGAACAGTGCATCGTGGAACAGCACTTGCCACGGGAATAGAAAGACCATTTCCCTTCTTTCTTTTTCAAGCAAAACGGAGCCAGGCGGGAAGCAATTTGGCTGGGGTTAGTTGGTGACAGAGGGATTCACTCATTTGCCAACATCGTCCTGGAAGTGAAGGCCCAAGCCTGGCCCATTTATCCAGGAAAGACTTAGGAAATCCCTAACGCTACTCGTGAACTCTCCCTCTTTTCTTTGCGTCCGCCTCTCTCCTCGAAAACGCTAGCCTTCTTGGCACGTGTATTTCTTTTACCCAATCAACTTAACAGACTTGTGGCAAATTTAAGAGGGATTCGTAACCTCTACTGTCCATAGAAATCTGACACCAGATGTCTTGTCTCGAATGTATTAGGGTAAAAAGGGCGAAAGGAAATTGAAATCATTCTTGTTCGCACAAGCAAAATCACTGTGATATATGTCACTAGAACGTAGTCCTGAGAAAAGGGGAAGGGAGGGTAAGGCGGAGGATAAAGAGTACCTCGGTCTGGGTGGAGGAGATGCTCGCACATGCAAGCTCGCGATTACTGGTGATTTTCTCATGCCTGTCAGCTAAGCAAGTCCTTAAGTAGAATAGACCCGAGTCATCTCCAGTCCTCGTTTGCCTCAATAACAGCTTCCCAGTCCATTTCGTGATGCACCCCTCATCATGGCATCCCTCGCATCCCTTCGTCTCGATCATGCGCAAGAAGGGAGTTGCCACAAACACTAATGATTGCCATCCTGCTTATATCCCCTACTCTTCGTGGGGAACGTTTCCGCACAATAAGATTTTGAGAGGTGAAAGAATGAGAAAGCGTGGAGCATGTTCTTCTGGCAGCTCCCGTGTCTATATGCAGACGCTTCTGAATACTGACTGAAATTGCCCATGCTTCTAGTGGAGGTTGACGTTTCTTCCACCGTTTGGGACTTAAAAAAAAAAAACCACCATGCAAATGCCTCAGCTCTTTAATGTCGACCTAAAACAGGTTTGTCTTGGTCTGACATACCGTCAATGATCTCAACATTGTATCGCACCAACGGAACCAGGTCAATAATCAATAAGAATAACCTCTTAAGCCTTTTCCACGTGTATATGCTGTATGTGATTAGATTTGTAAAAAAAAATTGCGATTATTCAATTATATATACACGTACATATGTTTCAAAATCACCATTTTCAACAAAAACGCTTGTCAATTTCCTTGATGGGAATCATTTTCTTATTGCTGAGTAATTGCTGGCAATTTATGTGGATTTTTAAAATTGTGTTCCAGAATAAGAGTACGTAAGTAACAAAAATATTGAGACAAGGACAATTATTAATTTTCTCATCCTGTGGGGGTAAAGAAGGATTAGATCTTACAGAACGCCGTAGTCCCGGGCTTTTATACTTGGTGGCTAAAGAAAATGGATGCCTTAACCTTCGAGATTGACTCGTGGAGCGTCCAACTTGATCAACAAGCAAAAAAAGTCATGAGCTGAGAAATCGTTCTTTTACTGATGATCAATGGAACAGATGCTCAATTGAACCTCCATTGTTGCCCTTTATAGCCTGCGAACGACAGCGCCACGAGCAGTCCTTCACGATGTTTCATTTTGTTGTTTTATCTTTTTTTACCACTGATTTTTTGCCACTCTTCAACTGCTCCAAATTTTGAATACTGAGGCGAAGGTACACTCTTCTAGGGGGCCACATATTAGAAAGTTTCAGTTTATCGTACCGCACGTGAAACGACATTTCTTTCACCCTTCTCCGTGGTCATATAGTTTCTGAATACAACGATAATAATATCCATGAATTTTTTATCTTGCAGCCTTCGAACCCATCTCATCACCGCCACTTGAGGAGAATCGAAGTGTTCGTTTCTCAGGGAAGGTTTCATGCTCTCTACTTTTCAATCCATCATGTCTTAATTACAGGCGATTTTTCCACCCCACCTGTTTTCTTTATTTTGGGGCGTGGTCCCAAATGATTCTTACTCTGTTTTGTGTAAGTATTTTGGCTAGGTTCTCCGATCCTGGACAGATTTTTTTGTCAGTACCGGTCCGCATTCCATCACACATGTTGACTTCCCATTAATATTTACCAAGCAACGGACAGTGACTACATTTCTGCCTCCCTCGTCTGTTCTCATGTTCTCATGGGAGTCACCCAGCCTAAGAGTGATAATAATCCCATTAGAGAAATGACGTCCGGAGTCTGGAAGGCACATGCCGAAAGGCAGGATAATGAAAGAACCTCACCCTTTTCTTGATCGGGGAGGGTGTACATTAACGTCAGAAACACCGCAGGTATTTCCCTGGTTTGAAAAACGGTCCTTCCTCAAACGAATGAGCTTCAATTTCCTCTCTCCAAAATACACCCTTTCATCCCTCATATTGCAGTCGACCCTAAAGTGAAAAGGGAAGATTTTCGCAGATTTTCGAGGAAGGGGAGGGAGGTTACACTGTTGAATCAATCCCGTCCCCGCCCATTATCTCTCCCAACATCATCGTCATCATCGTAGATGATCCCCCCTTGTCCGGTCAATAGTTTCCATCTCTGTTGCCTCATCGTCGGGGGGAAGGAAACATCTCATTAGATTAGACGGTGGTGTGCATGGGGGTATGATTATTACCCCGACCGTGAGATACTGCATTATACAGTATTATATATTTCGTGCCCGTCTACCTGACAAGAGAGTCGTGCACACATGTACAGTTTCCTTATGAGGGGATGTACTGTTTGCATGTACTCGTAATAGGTCCAGAAAGCTCAGGATGGCATGCACCGCATCGCTCCGTCTGATTTCATAATTGGGCCCTTCGTCCCATCGCCATAAAGGAAATGAGAAAATACGAAAATAGATCAGTTTAAGCTTATAGGATCTGATGAACCTCTAGTTTGACAGTTTGTGGTTTTGTGATACGTTCTACCAGGAAATGATGAATTGAATATTCGAGAGCAGTGCGTTCTCTGTCTTCCTAGGTAATTTTGTGATCCTGTACTAAAAATGGCGTACAGTATCCAGGAAAAAGCGATTTTGATATAACCTCTCTGGTTTTACTCCTGACTATTGTCCACGAAGCTGCTTTTGCTTTTTTCGAGATGATGTCCACTGTTTACTATTTCCATCACAAAATCTATTAGTGGAGAGAACACGCCCCTATATGCACTAATTCCTGGCGAAACGTCACACTGCATAACTGCAAGACGTCAAACGTGGAACATTTTTTCTGGGACACCCTGTATTACAGAGAACAGAGTGGGTGTTTAAGGACTCTGAGTCTAGATTGACTCTGAATTTCTTGGAAGAAGGGACGTAAAGGACCAAAAGGTCATCTCATTTCCCGGGGTTTATGACTTGCTCCTCATTCCCTCATTTCCCCCTTGACACCTAAGGATCGAAAACGAGCCCCACAGATGAGATGCCATACACAATAGACCCCTATTGGATCCATCATTCGAGATCGTCGAGATCAGGTATCAACTGCAGGTAGGTGGGATTCTTGTTTGCGGCTCTGACGGAAGGAACGGAGCCAAATGACTCCCGCATAAGTATTGCATAGTGGCCTTGTCTTGAGAGCCTTCTTGATTAGCGATTCCTTTTCTCGTTTCGATTTATGATCGCTCGCTACCAACATTTCTCCTTTCCATCTTACTTCCCGCGCTCGCTCACGATCGAGGCTCGATGCTTTCTTGCCTCTCTCGTGAAACACTTTCAGATCGATTCGAAAAATAAAGGACAGGTCGCTCTTCTTCCGTTCTCGCGCTTTTCTCTCGCGACCCGTTACGACAAGAATGGACTTGTGGGAAGCACCGGGTGCTCGAAATGGAGCCCAGGAAGTGCATCTGTTTCAAGACCTCATATTTACCGTTGTCTTGCCTTCAGAGAGAAGCAAATGAAGAAGGATGTGCGTCGAATTTGCACTTGTAACCTCATTAAAGTTCCTTCCAAGACGGCGAGACAAGAGAAAAGGAAAGTGAAAAAAAAACCGAGGAGGTAATTGGGGGAATCCCAGCTGCATACCGAGGAGGGGATGTGTATCCGGCTCGGAATGACAATTGATGAGCTCACACCTGCATGGCCCATCAACTTCACTTTGTGTCATCGTCTATGCGCGTGGCGCAGACTGGAGACCAAAACTCCTCCTGTCTAAAAATGTTTTCTGTCGCTTTTTCTTCTCTCGGCGCCTACGCAAAACATCGCGCTATTTGCGCCAGCCAGATTTTCATTCCTTCGCGAGGGTTTTTCATTTTCAGCGAGGAGTACACGGAATGGAAATTTTCAATGCGTTGCATGCATCAGTGCACCGAGAGTGTACCATTTACCCTGCACAACAAGAGGGGAAACCCTCGTCCAAGATTCTCCGACGAACGAGGGACACCACTCAGTATTCGCCTATCTACGATGTTCTCAGTTTCCAGGGAAGATTAGCATGCCGAAAGCAGACAACCGGAAAGAAGTAGAAGAACCATAGCGCTATTTCACTCTTAATTCTCGTCTCCTGTCTCTCGGCACGCGGGATTGGACGAGATGCCATGCATTCCCAAACAAAAACATTTCTTGCACCCAACATGTCATTCATTTCGAAGGTTGACAAGCTTGCTTTCAAAATAACATCGAGGAGCCCGACAGAAAAGGAAGAGTTCTTTCAAGATGCTAGAGTTTCTCGTGTTCCAGACGCAATTTCGTCGATGAGAATCGTCTGGCACCCTCTATTTTTCTTGTCTTCGAATTTTTTTAAGCAGGCTGGGGTAGCCAATTAGGCTCCGTACTTCTGTCTTGGGGGGGGGGGGGGGGGGTTTGGCTCCGAGACAGACATTTACACTCTCAACTTTCGTCGAGGGCATTCATGAAGTCATGAGGCACTTCTCCAGTTATGCTTTACAGGCAAATGGGGAGAAGACAGGGTTGTCAAGAATTATCTTCCTTCCGATACAAGTATAGGA